CATGGTTTATGTATAATGTCACTACTCAATATCATGGTTTATGTAGAATGTCACTACTCTATATCATGGTTTATGTAGAATGTCATCACTCTATATCATGGTTTATGTGGAATGTCACCACTCTATATCATGGTTTATGTAGAATGTCACCACTCTATATCATGGTTTATGTAGAATGTCACCGCTCTATATCATGGTTTATGTTGAATGTCACCACTCTATATCATGGTTTATATAGAATGTCACCACTCTATATCATGGTTTATGTAGAATGTCACCGCTCTATATCATGGTTTATGTAGAATGTCACCACTCTATATCATGGTTTACGTTGAATGTCACCACTCTATATCATGGTTTATGTTGAATGTCACCACTCTATATCATGGTTTATGTGGAATGTCACCACTCTATAACATGGTTTATATTGAATGTCACCACTCTATATCATGGTTTATGTTGAATGTCACCACTCTATATCATGGTTTACGTAGAATGTCACCATACTATGGTTTGGTTTTTGAAAGATGTGAATGGTATTGATAATTATATTTCTAAAGTTTCACAAGTTATAAAAATAATTTTCTTCGTAAAAGGTGAACAGCCCGTGCACATAATACATAAAAAGTTAGGTTTGCGTTTGTTAAGTGAACTCAAATTTGTATCTTCATCAGACGATCGGGCATCTTCTTTTTTGAAGTGATCCAACTTAAGTTGGAACAAATTAATTAATTTAAATTGTTTTTTTCGACTATTTCTGAAGGTGGATTTAATCCCTTTTTGAGTTTCACAAGAGGTAAATATAGATAACAGTTTAAAGTAAAGATTTTTGACAACTGGTAGATGTTTAAACTAATTAAATAAAGTAAGAATTGATATACACTTTTAAAACTGGTTCAAATCAGTGTGATCGAAGAAGATTTTCGTTGGCTTAGACCAAAAGTTCTAGATTATTTTATCATAACTGTACTCAAAGTAAATGTTGTTTTGTTGGAAACTGGCGTAGCTGGTTTGGTCGATGATAAGTTAATCCATTACTTAGTCTGTTTAAAAACAGTTTAAGATTTTGTTTGTTTGTATATTTTAGAGCAAAGCCACATTGGGCTATCTGCTATGTCTACCATGGGGAATCGAAGCCTGAATTTTAGCGTTTAAGTACGTAAACTTACCGCTGTCTCACAGGGGAACACAAAAGTATGTTTCTTGGTTTACAGTAAAGCCACATTGGGCTATCCGAAATGTCTAATGCCGTGAATGGGAATCGAACCTTGGATTTTAGCGTTGTAAATCCGTAGACATACCGCTGTTCCACCGGGGACAAAAGTTTAAGGAGAACATGCATTCAGATATTTATACTTTTGGTTCCTCTTGTGACTGAACTCTAAACTTGAGAGTACATAGTATTAAAATTTGGGGGATCGAATTCTGTCAGAGAACACAACATTGTGTAGGTTTTATGTTTGAAACAGATTATTTCATTTTTCATAATTCTTCTACGTCGTATGTACGGTGTTTTAGTCGTCACAGTAAACCTATATTTATGTACGTACGATGTTTTAATCGTCACAGTAAACCTATATTTATGTACTTACGATGTTTTAATCGTCACAATAAACCTATATTTATGCACTTACGGTGTTTTAACCGTCACAATAAACCTATATTTATGTACTTACGGTGTTTTAATCGTCACAATAAACCTATATTTATGCACTTACGGTGTTTTAACCGTCACAATAAACCTATATTTATGTACTTACGGTATTTTAATCATCACAATAAACCTATATTTATGTACTTACGGTGTTTTAATCGTCACAATAAACCTATATTTATGCACTTACGGTGTTTTAACC